GTTAACTTTTCCAATTTCGAAAAGTGTAGTGCTAACTTGACACACGTCATATGGGCGCAGGTTGTGCACCCTTGTGCATGGAGTCCATAACGCATATCACTTAGATGATTCATGGCACAATATGCAATCGCGCTGTTATAAGCATTTTATTCGCTACGAAATTTCCCTCGCATATATTTTATCCACAATGCGGACAGTGGAAGCCATGAAACATAAGAAGAGAATATGCTTACAAAAAGCGAGAGCAAACGCAAGAGTGTAAAATATGGACATACAAGAAAATAGTTACTGCTGATGAACATATGTTTGCACTTGTATAATGATTCTCTGGATTGGCAATGTGCACGAACTAAACAGCACATTCTTGCCTTTTTTTTTGAAATCTGTGCGGACTAATGTTATAGTTAAATATAGCCAAAATTTACATTCATAGGTTCTCACATACCCTGAAAATTTTATGAACTATGTAATGTATTTGAAGCTTGTGATGCAAATATCAAATAAGCCTAGCAAGCTTTGAAGTCTCGTAAAGCCCTTGCACGGTGCACGGATTGCAAAGCTTTACTATAGGAAACCCATTTTTTACCGCGTTGTTGTTGTTGTAACAGCATACAAATTCCCCAAAGCGTTTTTGAGGGTTGTTGCTGGAGTTACAGTTCTTGGGCAGATATACATAAATCTGGCACTTGTGGGAACGTGCTCGCTGCAAGGGCTTTGCAAGATTTACAGAATTCCACTATTATATCGTAAACGAGTAGAGGATGAAATCTTTGTATGCAATACAAAATACATATATGTTATAGTCAGTAATGAATATGTATAACTAAAACATACCTTGGTATCATAATCAAGTAACTCAACAAACGCCGCAAATCTTCCGGTTTTAGACGATCGCGTTTAGGTGTTGCGGGAAAACAGAGCAAGGGCCCACCACGTCTATCCCGCCCACCAGTGAGACAAACGACACGTTCTTGTAGAAGGGTTAAAATATCGCGCGCTCTTTGTCCATCCATATTTGTAGTTGCACTGTGATGGTGGGAATATTGCCTTTTGTATATCGCAAATGTGTGTATGTTCCTTTTTCAGGGTCACTAATATGAGTATTTCAATCGATTTTTCGGCTAACCATTTCACGGTTATTACGTTCGGCGAATAATTTCTTTTTTACCGCCATTGCCGTTTGGTTCCTTTCGTTTAATATCCTGTGCCAATTTTGTGCTGTAACCTTGCCTTAACTTGGGCCGTTTTGTTCTCAACTGCCCACCGAATAGTTTTTTAATATCGAAATAATTGTTCGTCGGTTTAATTTTTATATAAAAAACCCAATAACTGTTCAACCAAGACATATGGAATTGATTCGCGATTTCTTTTCTATTTCTAATCACTATTTCAATGCCATTGTAAGATTGTACTAAATATGTGCTTTTCTTTCTTCACTTTACGTTTTTGAATTTAACAAATTCTTCTTTACACTAATTAACTTTTAATTTGCATTGAGCAATCACTACTGGCGAAGATATTTCCGTTTATGTTGCTTCCACTGCTCACTTTGCCACAAGTGCTGCCTGCTGTCGCTGTCGCTGCCGCTGTCGTCGTCGACGTCAGCTTCTGCAGCATCATCAGCAATGCAGCGACAACACCATTCCAAATTTTGCTTCGTTTTCTTTTATTATAAACCTTTCTTTATTGTCATATTTACTTGTTTGGATATTTTTCGTATTATTCTTCATCACCAGCCAAAAACCATCATTCATTGGCACAGAGGTATCCAAAAAATAAAAATAAATCACACAAACGCGAAAAAAAACTTTTATTATATGTAATTGTTGTTGTTTTCGGCGCTGGTTGCCGCTGGCGGACTGGTTCACTGTCTGATTTCGCTGGTTGCTGCTTAACTACTTGCCTGTTCGTTGCTTCTTCTTCATCCTCCCATTACTTCGACGATTTCTGTTTCCTCCCGCTATTCTTTTGCTCCTCCTGGTCTTGCTGATGTTGGTGCTCCGCTGCTTTTTTGCTGTCATTGATTTTTTGAGAAATTTCGTATTGCCGGAAAACCACTATTTTGCCATAAATTTGAACACTTTTTATAATATTTCATTAGCACACACATTGTTTTTTCACTTTTTGATTGTATTTTGTCTAAATTTTAGGTATTTCTTATTGAAAATTACAAATTTTGCAGGAGGATTTTGCTGCCCAACGCGAGAACGAAATGAAACAAATTTTTTCTCTTCAATTCTCTCCAAACTCTCCACTGTTGTCGATGACAACGAAAATAGGAATAAAACAACAGCGAACAAAAATATGACAAATTTTTTTGTGCAATGAGCAATTCTAATTTTTTAAGGAAACTATCTAATTATGCTTAATAAAAATATTAAAATATAAAAGAACTGTTTGCACATGCAGCTTCATGATATATTTATGTATTAATAATGAATCATGATGCAACTTAACTTATTTTGTAATGCAAAATCCGCAACGTTTGCAACCCTGCTTTGTAGAGATTTGGACCGGGTCCAGTGTTGCCACTTAACCTATTTTTTTAACACATTTGGTACAAAATAGCTCTCAGCCTATCTATGTCTTGCTTATGAGATTTAAATTCTGTAAGTAGGTACACAATTTTATTATAAAAAAATTAAATAAAATTTACCTGTCCCTAATTTGTCTGCATGCTGCATGCTGCATAAATGAAGAAATAAGCGCGAATTCAAAGTCGAGCTTTGAAAATTACTGCTACACGAATTAAAAGCTGTCAACTATTAATTTCTTTAGGGATAAGAGGGAAATATAATACAAATACTCTTCCTTCCCACTCACTCGCTTTAGCGAAATGTAAAATTTGGTATTTGCGTAATAATTATCTAAGTATTTTCTTCTAACCTAAACAAACTGTAAGGATTAGAGGACAGTCTTATCACAGTGAAACCACAAATTTAGGTACAATTTTGCAAACCGGCAACACTGAACGTGCCCGCCGAACGAACAAAAACTCGTTCACTATTTTGTTCGTTCGTTCGTACGTTCGCGTCGCAATAGTGTGCACGAATATCATACAGGTTTTTTTATAGTATTGCGAACATTAGTTTTAATTATTAGAGTAAAACTTTCATATTACTAAATTCTTTTACTGATACCCTATAATGGAATTAACGAAATTTCAGCTGCATTTTGTCGGAATGCTGTGCACAGCTGTAGCAAGATAAATTTATATTTCACATAACATATCTGTGTTGCACAAGATGCATTCTTGTCAAATTGACAACTAAAAATTCTGGCAGCTGCCTTTTTCGGTGCATTTGCGTTTTGCTTCTAAAATTTTCAATTATTTTGTTTTCCTCCAAAATTTGCAAAAATTCTTCGTAAAATCAAATTAACGTTACAGCATCGTAAAAGAAAATCGAAACATAAACAACAAATACAAACGGAAGGTCCTGGAAGTGTTTCAATAGTTGCCATTGGAGAAGTGGTTACAGCCATAGATAAATCAACAAACGGAATCGGTGACATCCCCAACATGGATAATACAAATCTCAACCGAGTGCTAAATCAAACCTTACGTCATCCACTACATGGACTGCTTTTCAAATATACCAATGTCATGAAAGGTGTGTAGGTATAGAACTTTACTTTTAGGTGCATTACAAAGTTCCATTGTACAAATTCACAGGCTGGCAGTACCGTTGGTTCACGGTTGACGCGCAGACCGGCACACTTAGCTACTTTTTGTGTGACTCGTCCTCGTCTGGCGATGAAGCAACGCCATCGGCACAGGTTTTGGCTAGTGCGCCGCGAGGTCAAGTACAGCTGGCAGGTGCTGTAGTCTGTCCGAGTGACGAAGATTCACGCACATTTTCCATAGGTTGTGCCTCTGGCGATACGCTTAAATTGCGTGCTGCCGATGCACGTTCACGCCAAGAATGGGTGGATGGTTTGCGTGCAGTTGTAGAAAGTCATACAAAAGCAATGGACATTAGCAATTCATCACCACTGCCGCCACGAGAGTTGCTCGCCGCCTCAGATGCGATGGTTTCGGCGAGACAAGCACTCTACCTAACCGAACAATGGTGAGTGTAATGAAAATGAAAAATTATATTTTAACCATTATATCAATGTTGCATGTCTATAAATTTGAATCATTACAGTAATGCAACGTTAGCGCGTACAATTGAGAATATTGAATGTGAAACATTTTCACCGACAGATCCGGACTTGCTTTTGCTCAAAGCCATTTCGACAGCTAGTACACAATGTTTGCATCAGTGCCTCAGTCTATTACAACGACACGAAGAGATACACAGTACAAGTGCTGCTGAATCGGCGGGCGCTTGCTAATTGGAGTACACAAATTTACATACATATTTGCTACATTTGCTACATTCTAAGAGAATTGGAAATTCTTTCATAGGAGCTTCCGTACGTTCGTTAACGTTAATTTGTTCATATTTATAAACAATATGTATAATGTATGTCTCCAAGTTGTCATATAACCATACAATTTTATAAAATGATTTGTTTCTAAGGATTTGAATCTTTAATTCTTGATAATGTATTAGATATCTTTAACGTTAACTCTATTAATATAGCTACATACATACATACACATATATATTATGAAAGACATCTACACTTTATAATTAATAATTGTAACGATATTCAATCAAATATTTTAGGTACAAAATTTGATGGAATTATTAAATACACGCACACGTCGTAAGCTTAAAACGCAAAAAATGTGTATTTAAATTGTCGGCATAAATTATTTGATTATGTAAAAATAAACAACTGGGCTTTGTTGTTATAACAGCATACATTCTTCCCAAATAATGGCTGGTAGACCCGACTGTCTTGGGCACAGCTAAGGTTTGTTGCAGCCACGCGGCTCTTACAAGGATATAGGGGGCAGTGAACGTAAAAAATCGGGGGCAAACATTATTCACAGAGCTCGACTTTTGAGACTGTGGTTCGCTTGATCAATCCGAGGTGATTACAAAACGGATGCATGTATGCATATGTTTTCTCTACAACTACACGAAGACCAAAATTAAAACCAGCATTTTTTTCTGATTTATTAACTTCAGTTTAATTCCTCATCTGTTAACAAAATTTTTTGTTTTATTTTTTTTAATGTACTTACTTTACATCGCTGAGTTCTAATAACATAAAATAAAAACACTTATTGCAATTTCCATCTCTTTGTATATTTAATGAATTAAATAAAGATACCATTACGCTATTTAGATTCAGATACAATTATAATTATAATACCACTATTTTATCGCTCGATACTCGTACATAATTTACTTAGAGAAGTTAATAACATAAAATTTGTTTCTAAATTAACTTTTCTTTTGCATAAAATTTCTTTGCCCTTTTTCATACATACATACATACATATAGAGTTCATACATTCATGTACTTATCTGCATGTTCTCGTGCATATTTGTTTGTTTAGCGGATAAATGGACAAATTAAATAAACTAAATGTACTAGTTCTATTTTCTACATTCCGGAATAAATACTAACTTTGTTGTGGTTCAAGTTTTGAGTTTGGCTTACACATGCATACATACATACGGTACATATTAGTACCTACAATATTTTATATACGGCAAGAAAAAAGAAAACATGATTATTTCGTGTGATTTGCAAGTGCTTTCAATTATTATTTTTTATTTAAAAACATTCCCATTTTGTTTTTGAAATAGGCTGTAGATTTTAGGTCCTTCTTTATGGGTATTTTAAACAATTCTTCAGTTTTGTATTTATGTAGTGTCCTGGATAGCAATTCAAATGGCGGCGAGAGCGCAGAAAGATTTTTTTTGTTATTATTTTTAATAGAAGAATTGCATGCTGTTTTTTTTTTACATGCATACTGAGATCTATGTATGTATGTAGAGAATGATTTGCTGCATCACCTGCTTATAGTGTATGTATTATGCTTTTGAGTGCGTCTGTATTGCGTGACAATCTGCAGCTTACTAAAAAGAAACACTACACGTTGGTTATTTGAAAACATTTGCTTTTGATTTATGCTTTATGCTTATGTATTTAATTGAGTCTATTGTAGATTATTTTATTATTGTTTTTCTTTGTTTGGTAATAAAATTAATACAATTAATAATTTTTTGCTTGTGTTTTTACAAAACTGCAATCACACAAAAGTTGGCTGTTTACTAAGTATATTCTACATTTCAGGACATACATAAATCATAAAACATTTTTTTTAGGAAAATTCTCCACGAAGGAATTAATTTTTTTTTTACTTGTTTGGAGTGAACTGCATATCAGTTATGTAACTTAATTTACGCTATTACATGGCTTGTCCTTTGTAAGCCTTGAGTGTCAGTATTTATACATTTGAAATTGAAATATGTTGTTATTGCAGTTAAGTTTTGATTTGAGTTTTGCATTCACAAATAATTTTATTTCTTTTTCTCTTCTTACTTACAAACTTGTTTTGTTTTGATTTGATTTTCTGTGTGCTTTGATAACATAAATTGCAAAAAAATTAAAAGTAAATATAATTAACCTTTTGCCTGAAATTCGATTTTGTTTGGGCCGAAACATTTTCATCATAAAAATATTAGGTACTAAATCAATTTGTTAACTTTTTTGCTCGCTCTTTTAACATCGTCTATCCAAAAGTTTTTTTTTATAAACATATAAAAATGCATTATTTTTTCTTTTTTCTTTATATGCAATACATACTTTTCAAACCTGTGCATGGCGGGCAGTAGGCAAACGAGGTGACGTAAATAACACACAAATAGTAATACGTAAATATTCACAGTAGAATTAAAAAAAAAAAATTAACTTTATACAGTGAAAAGAAAAATTTACGAAGGCACTTTTTAAATATTTTTTATTTATTTATTTATTTGTTGTATTAAATTTATAATAAATTATAAAATTTAATAGTTAGTTACAGCGCTAGCTGCTAGGGCTATTGGCTGTGTCGGTAATGTAAAAGTGTGGATTATATCTTGGCATCGATGGCTCTGATGTAATTGTATATAACGTTGATGTTCTGGATTGAAGGAGTTTTGAGTAGATCGATTGGGTTGTGGTTGTTAAGGATGGAATTTCTAGACCTGCGGTGCTCCGGGCATTCGAGAAGAAGGTGGTTGACTGTTAGGTGTGCGTTGCAATGTAGACAGTTTCCGCTGTGTTGGGTACTTAGTAGGTGCGAATGAGTTGCGTTTGTATGCCCAAGGCGAAGGCGGGAAAATACAAAGATTTTTTCTTTTTCTATGGTAGTGGGGTAAATAGCAGGTGCATTGTTTGTGTTAATAGTTGAGTAATGGTGATGTTGATAGAGTGCTCTTTTGGCTTGTTGTTGTTTTCGGTGCTGTTGAAGACAGACACGCGCTAGATCAGTTTTCTCTATAATGGGGCTAATGATGGTTGGAGCCTTGCACGCAGACTTCGCTGCATTATCTGCTTTCTCATTACCAGTTATACCTACGTGTCCTGGTATCCAGAAGAGTTTTGTGTGTTGGGACTGGTGTAAAATATCACGGATCGCGTTTATTGTGTCCCAGTTACTATTGGAGATATTTTTTATGGCTTCTAAGACCGAGAGACTGTCGCCGAAGATTACAGCCTTCTTATTCTTTTTTTGGGCTATTTGAAGCGCCTCCATTATACCCGCGGCTTCCGCGGTAAATATTGACGCAGTGGGTTGCATTGAGTAGTTCGCTAACGTATGACCGTCTGCGTCGACTACTGCGTAAGCGGTGCTATGTTCTTCTTTTGAGGCGTCTGTATAGAGTATTTCGTAATGTTGGTTTTTAAATATCGACAGTTGTTGATTAAATAGTTTAGCATACATTGTGATAGGAGTTTTGTCTTTTTTAAATCTTGCTAGCTCTGTGTTGCATGTATTTGCATTAAAGAGCCAGAGCGGGTATTTTTTAATGTGATGTTTGTGCATTTGATGTGTTTCGTTGTGGCCTTTAAGAATGTCGTATATAGCTGAAGGGAGTTTTGGGATTTTTTTGCAGAGGATGGCTTTATTGGTGTCGTTGTCGATTATTGAGTTGTTTTGAAACAGTATTTTTGGTAGTAGTCTAAGTCTATTTTCGGAGATTCTGTCTTCCAGTGCTGGAAGGCCTGATTCGGTCAACATGTTGTTTATCGGGGTGGTGACAAACGCGTAAATGCTGCTTCTGATGGCTTGGTGATATGAGGGCTTGATGATGTTTAGAGTAGTCTTTGGAGTACTTCCGTATAGAAATAGCCCGTAGTCGATTTTACTCAGCACCAGAGTTTTTACCAGATATACGAGTGTGTTGATATGTGTGTAGCTCCTACCGGCTAGGTACCGGATCAGGTTGGTTCTAGACATTAGCGATTTTTTCAGTTGTGTGACGTGGTTGTTCCATTTGTAATTTTTGCTAAAAACAATACCGAGAATTTTTAATTTGTCAACCCGTTTGATACGGTTGGTATTTATTGTCAGATCCGGTGGGTTGCAGTTGTGTTTCCGGCAGATATGAAGAATCGCTGATTTAGAAAAATTGATGTTCGCACCAGCTCTATGTGCCCAACTGCTAATTTCGCTTAAGACATTGGTAAATACCGTGTTGTTGTCATTGTTATTGTTACCTTTTGCCATTATATACAGATCATCTGCGTATATGCAGTGCTCTAATGTCTTATATTTGAGTATGATGGTACTGATGCGGTTAAAAGCGATTTGGAAGAGGATTACCGACAATGGCGACCCTTGAGGTATTCCATTATGTAGTTGTTGGGGTTCCGAGAGCATATTGTTGACCTTAACTCTTAGTCGGCGGTTAGTTAGAAAACCTTGGATGAACATTAGTACCTTACGACCGATTCCCCATGACTGCAGGGTTTCGATAACAATATGCGCACCAATCCGATCGAATGCTTTTTCAAAGTCGATTGAGAGTATAGAAACGTGATTCTATATTTTTATTAAGCGTGAACATAAGTGGAACAAAGCAAAAATTATCAACATTAAAAAAGTCCATGGAAGTTAAGCCAAATTTTTAATTTATTGCGCACTGTTTTATTCGTGTGTATGTAAACATAAATATTTTAATCACTAAGCCATTCGCCGGCAAGAGTCTGTTGATGGATTTAAATGAAAAAAAAAAATAAAAAATAAAGTTGCTCTTGATGATTCTAAAATGCATTATTTTTTAAAGAAATGAAAAAAACTAAAAGAAAATAAAGTAAGGTCAAATACAAATACAACTTTTAAGTGCCGATGAAAAATATGTTTTTAATGAGTTGAGCCCGATTTTTGAATTTTTGTACATATCTTTATATTAAATTTTAAGCGCAAAGTGCGGAAAAAGCAGCAAATTTCGAAGAAAATCGATGATCCTGTTTCAGCTAATAAATGTTACACAATGAAAACTAGTTGAAAAAAAATTAAAAGAAAAGTTTGATATGCTAATTTTTTTTGAGTTTTTAGAAAAATTTTGGGTGTGCAGTTTTATATTATAGGTCGTTAAATTTTAGTATAAAAAAGCGAAAGTTGAAAGTAAAGAGGGTTCGCATTGATTTTTTATATTTTTGTCGCTAACTTTTCGAGCACATCTGCATGTTGCATCATTTATATTCTTATTATATACATATATGCATTAT